TTTTTTTTTTTTTTTTTTGCTAAAATAACTGTTAAAGATCTGAAATGTCAGTTAACATTTCAGATTTGCCCGGCTAACCGGCTAAATAGTGCATTTGAAAAAGTGATAAATTATGCTTTTAAACTAGTTACTTAGAATTGGTATAAGAAATAAGAACTTAGAAAGTATCGTTTTATGTAACAAAACTTAAATGTCTAAACATTGTTTTGGTATTTGTCTGTTTCAAATCTCAGTGCAGCTACGGAATTGTATCTGCTTCTTCTGTTTTAGAAGCTCTGATTAACGATACCAACTACAAAAAAATAATAAATATTAGAGTTTTATCAACCAAAGTTTGCTTTCTCAATTATCAATTCTTTTTATTAATGCTTTATGCTTTCATTTCTCACCTTACCTTTTTTTCTCGTAATGCAGTCGGCATTTTATTGCTGCACACAGTTTCTCATTACATTTATCTTTGCTTTTCAAAAAAATCTTTTTCAAATCTTCAAGACAGAATCAAGGCTGTTCATCTAGACAGAACCTAATCTCGGTTTCAATACTATAGTTTTTGTAAATATTAAAAATTTTTACAAAGTAGTCTCAACCTTTCTGATTTTTTTTTTTTTTTTTGTTTAGGTTATATAAAGCATATAAGACTGAATGAGTTGCATCGGAATTAATGTTTAACTGTATTCGTGTTGATGAAATGTTGAGGTCAGTGGACTACAACTTTAGAAGGTTTTGTATTAAAAAGAAAAAAAGTTTTTTTTTTTTTTGAAAACAAAAAAAGAAGAAAGGAGACTTTTCAAAGTAATTTATGTCTTAAAACAAGGAAGAACTATTTGTCATTTATATATGTCATTGTTTACGCAGTAACTTTGAATATTTTGATAAGGAAACCTTTCAGATTGTGTGCTCAGAAACCTGTCGAAAAGGTAACAGTGCTAAAGAGGTTTCTACAACAATTACTGCTGATACGTCTGATGAAACTGATGTATCGACCTGTTTTTGAAAAGAAAGAAAAAACGATTATTTTTGTTCATGCATTTTCTCTTTTTTTTTCCAAGTACTGTTTTCTAATCGACAATTTTCATACTATTATTACACACTGCTGCATAACCACATCTGGTTTTTATTAAATACTGATCATCTTCCGCCGTTTCAGTAATAATTGGATTTACACCTTTTCTTCTCATGCTTTTTGATAATTCACTGAATATTAAGAAGCCTACTTAAGTAAAGCAGAAAAAGCACTAGAAAGCAGAAAAAAAAACTAGGAAAAAAATAAGTAGAAGCTAATTATAAGTAAAAGTTTTGTGTCAGAAAACCAACAAAAACACAACAAAACGAAAGCCAAATTTATTTCCGCTATCGTCAGTAAAATTTTGAATTCATATAAGGCAAAAAAAAAATGAGAAGAAATAAAGAAAGAACTGATTTTTAACATATGTAACTGATAGTTGAATATATTGAAGTCGGTGTACGTTTAATCGGCGATAATAAGCTGTCTTAATTATTCATCTATTAAAATGCAGCTTTATCATCATTGCCATCATCCTGATCAACATTTTCGTCATCGTCAGCATGCATCATGCATCATCGCTATTTAACAACACTATTATCACGTGGAGCACAAAATAAAATAGAGAAAAAAGAAAAAAAAAATTGTTTCTTTTTTTAAACTGAAATTTTCTGGCTCAATAATTTGAAAAATATAATTTCAATTTTCTTTTCTTCTGTAAAATTAGCTATTTTATAAGCTTTGTTACCAGTAAATTTTTTTTTTTTGTTTTTGAATATTGAATTAATGTCATCTGAAATGAAACTGATATAAAAGCAACAGTGATTATAGACTAAAGCCAATTTCGTTTATTGCTGCTTCTGTTTTCATATTTTCAGCAAAACAACAACAATCTCATAGTTTATTGCTGTTTTATAAACTAAAAATATTATCAGAAATTTTAAACTATTTTTGTGCAACAAATAACTTTTTTTCTTATTTCAACAACAGTTTTGATTTATTTTTGAGAATCAACTTAACATTTGTTCTCTGGAAGTGACTGTTTTTTTCTGTTTGAAATCTTTGTTTCAACATTTTTTTTAATCAAAAGTTTTTCTTAAAACACTAAAAAATATCAAAAATTTACAGCAACCACTTTTTGACTGTTTTTATCAATTATTGTTGTTTTTCTTTTATTAATTATTACTTTCGTTTCTGTATTTTTAAAGTTATTACTGCAGTTCAATAAACTTGACAGTTAGTGAGAAACAACAAAAGAAAATTAGACTGGTTGATTAGATAATTGTTAGTTGAAAAAGAAGAAAGGTAGCATAAATAAAATAATAAAATTTTTTATAGTTTATTTTATGCTGAGTAAAACTTTGCAAAAAAACACCGTTTTTTTGTNNCTTTAGAAACATTAAAATTTGCTTTATTAAACAGTTTTAGCAGTAAAATGTTAGATGTAATCATGAGAGATTGAAATTACTCT